CCCCAAAACCCCAAAACCCCAAAACCCCAAAACCCCGTGTGACTTTTTAATCATAAAAAAGTTAAAATTAGTGTTTGAAATTTTAGATACCAACAACTTACAAAAACTATTTAATTTCATAAATCCACTTCGACCTCTATTAACTTCTATATTTTTCCTCATTATTGGTTTTTAAGATGTGATTTAGGTCCCTTAATTCCATAAGGTTCATATTCATCCTTCAACTTATACAAGTATCTAGTTCTCCAATAAATAGTAAGTCTACTGTGAACAACATCCATGTGAGGCTTATAACTCTTGTATAAGGTGTAATAACCAAGGGAATCAAACTTTTTCTAGCAAACCTACCAGCAATAGAAGTTATTACTGCACAAAAATTCAAAAGTTATGATGTATTGAGGACGGACAATGCCTTATTCTATATCATCTATCATCTGTAAACATCCATTGTAATCATGATCGTGTAAGACTTAATATGGCACTCCACTTAGCATTCTAGCAGCAGGGGGATCCTTCTTATACAGAATCAGTTCTGTTCTGTTTTTGCCTTCTCCGTAGGATTTACGGTGGGTCCACGAGTAGTAGGGCAAGTCAGCTTTCTGCATAGAAAAGATAGAGTGAGGAGCCTCCTCCATATCTGCAAGATCGCGCATTGTCTCCCACTGGCGGAAGTGGAAGTTGTGGATAATTACGTAGGTAACAAGTTATTCAATAATGTGAAGCCAGAGCAAAGTTCTCACAATTTTTCCATAGTTTTTCACACTATTTGCGTATAGATAGCCAAGCATCAAGAAGCAGAAGGGAATAATCGGTTACATGAATCTATATTCCTTGTGAGCAATAAGAGAAAATATCAGAACATAGAAAAGTGTCATATATACCATATAGGGAGTTTATTTTTTCTGGCTACATTCTTTGTAGTAGTTGTAGATTGCGTAGATAAGTGAGGGATATGCTGAGGTAAAATACAATGGTAAGAATACAAAAACATAATAGTAAGGAGGCTCAGTACCAAAGTATCTGCTGACTCCCTCCAAAATATTAACCTTCAAGAAATTGTATCCGGTCACTGTAAATTCACCATAAAATGTGGTATCTAAGTAAATGCAAAAAGTTACTAGAGGGATTGCAATAAAAAATCCTGCTTTTAGAAATGCAAAAAATGATTTATCCTGGACTATCTTTAGCAATAAAAGAGGTATCCATCCTATTGGAGATGTACTCCTTATCATAAACGATAAAGAAATAAGCGCAGTCATAATAGCTGTAGTTTTGTTGAACTTATCCTTGACATCCAAGAAGTAATTAAATGCTATAATGTAGGATATTGCTTCTACACTGTTGCCAAAGCATCTGATAATAACCTCATTATATACGCGATTTGTTACATAGAAGATAAAGCCGATACGAGTGGCATTTCTACCTACCGTCTTCAATCCTACTTTCCACAGGTATTGGTCACTTAGGATAACAAGTAGTGAATGTGCAACATAAGGGTATAATCTGACTACAATTGCATAGTCAATTTATAGGAACTTAATAAGACTAAGAAAGGAAATCAAATAGTAAGGATAAAGTGTGCTTCTCAGCCTATATTTTGGATGCCACTCCCATGGTAGTTCTACCCCTCCATAAACATGATCGTAAGCTACCTCTATAGACTACCAATACTCATCTGGATGAACCATGTTTTATGTCATATATACAGCCTAAAAGAACCTCATCATAATTAGCAGATATCTGTTTGTGGCATTGTCAAGATCTGTTTTTCTCCAAAACGGAATATACTTCTCAAAAGTATCTTCTCCTTTGAAATCACTGTCAATGGTATCAGTATATTTTGTAGACATTTTAAATTTCTAATTTTTAAATCTTTACTCAATTAAATTACCGTCAATTCAAATTCATTTCTTATCAAATATAAATTCTTGAATGAAGGGGTTTTGGGGTTTTGGGGTTTTGGGG